AGCAGGAAGCATGGTTTTGAAAGACAAGAAACAAAGCTTTGGGGAAAAATTTCTTGAGTAGCTATAGTGCTTCAGTTTTTGAAGTCATTCTCTGAGCGTGGAATTTTAGACTAATGGGAATATACCAGACTCTGGGCCCAAAAAAGTCCTCCAGCTTTTTTGAAGTGTTTGTATGTAAGAATCTTTATGCTCTAAAATTATTGACTAAAGTTGCCTTCTGATAAAATTATTTTAGGTTTTAGTGAACGCATGTGGTATGTTTAAGATCTTTAAAACTCTAGGTTGTTAGACTGAACCATGCAAACATTTTAATGTGTTTTTAATTTAGGTCTTGCTATCACAGATGAAATTTTGCTGAGTAAGGGAGAGTGGTCCAAACTTTTTGAAGCTCCAAACTTCTTTCAAAAGTACAAGTATGTATTTTAAGGCATGTTGGACATGTTGCTCTCTTAAGTAATGGTTCATATGTGCAGTCTCTTCTTGCTAGATGAATATAGTTCTGAATTTGTCTTTAAACATCTTCTACAGAACTTGCCTGTCACAAAGTTTGCACTGTTTTTAGTTAAACCCCTTATTTTTTATCTGTCAAGGTTAAGTATGGCCCCTACAGTTTTGCTGCTTTCTGTAACCAGACTCCTACATTTGTAGAAACTTCAATTTTGTAGATACATGTTAGTCCTCACCAAACCTCAAAATCTGTATACCCTGGCAAAGGAGTGAACTGTTAAAATTTGTAGTTAATATTCTCTATTAAGACACTAAGTATTTTCAGCTATTTCTGGAAACTTACTTATCATTAAGATTCTCTATAACATAGGCAAAGCTAATAAAGTGTCATTATAGTTTAATGTTTTCAATAGTTAACAGCATACAATTGGCCTACAGATTCCCCCTAATGTTAACAAAGCCCCTTTAAATATTTCCACAAATAATTTTTTTGGAATCTAGGTTGGGGTAATAGTTTTTACTAATGGTTTTAATATAATGGTTTAACACCTTAGTACAGGTTAAAAGCCTGATTGTGTTGGTTTTGATGAAAAAATTGTAAGTTACAATAAATCTTACTTTAAAAAAAAATGGACTTGCACTTTTATTTGCCCTGAGCTGAAAACTTGCCAAAGTCCCACTTAATTTTTTTTCTTTAATTGTTGAAACTTTCCTGCCCATTTGATTTTGTGGATTGTGTTTTGTAATAATCGAAGTAAGATTGCTTTATGCTATTTCCCCAATTAAAAACAAGAATGATGACCTTCATGATGTCTCTGTGTTTTGTTTCTGTATCTTTTGCATGAAATAGCAGTGATGGAGCCAGCTCAATTGTGTTCTGGGAGCACTACCTTGCCAGTAAACAGTTAAATAGCATAACATTGAATGTTCTTGTTTATTACTTATTCCCCATAAGTTGTGCTTTTCCATTTGGCAGATAATTTTTGTTTGTTTTTTATTTGAATCAGTGTTTAGGGAGCACTTTTGAACATTGAAACTAATGAACATATATTCTGATACTTTAAAAACTACATAATAGAGTACGTAATTACTTGTGTGGAGAGTAATAAATTGGTTTTATAGACAAGTAGCAACATCTCTTAATGCCTGAGAATCAAAGATGAAGCTAGATTCATTCTTTTTCCTATCTCATTCCCTCATAGGATGAGAGGTGGGTAGAATGAAGTTCTTGAAAGTACTTCAGTGTCTTTCTTTACTTTAGGAAAGATTACTGTTGAAATTGAACAAAGCTTGATAGTGTTATCCATTTGAATAAATTTGTATTATTAGAACTTGGAAAGTTTTTTTTTTAAGTTTGCTTAATCTTTTCCTTTTAAAACTTTTAGGCTTGTCTTTCAATCTGTGCCAAATAGCGTCTGTTAGCTCTTCAGTCTACTGAAAAGATTATAGATTCCCATCTACTGAATTCTCTTGAAACAATCATTGTAGGTTATCACAAATGACTAAACTTAATTAGACATGAGGATATAGCAACAAATAGGAAATTATGTCAGGAAAAATAAAATTTCAGCTGTGAGTTCTTGGAAAACAGATTTGAGGTTATGACAACGATTCTCTCTATACCAAATTGAATTTCTTCAAAAAATTTTCTCAAATTTCTAGTAAATAAATACTTTGATTAGACTTCAGAGGGGGCCTGAGATTTGAGGGTTTTTTGTTTTTTTTGTTTTTTTTTTTAAAGAGGAAGGGAGAGAGAATCATCGATGTGAGCCATATCAGTCGGTTGCCTCCAGGGCACACCCTGAGTGGGGACTGAACTTGCAATCTAGACATGTGCCCTGATCAGAAATGGAACCTTCCAGTGGATGGGACAATACTCCAACCAAATGAGCCATACAGGCCAGCCTTGACTTTGTCTTTTAAAATAGATGAAATACTCTAAAGATTGGCTGTACAACTGAATTGAAATTCTTAGTTTTCCCTTGAATTAAAATTGCTTAAACCTTATTTGAAGTATATCATGCAAGTATTTGTTACATCTTAAGATTTTAAATCGTGTAAAATACCTGCTTGCCATTCTTGGGAGAGAAGTATGGAGGAAATTTTGTCTGCCTTCTGAAGACAAATCATTTTCCAGAAGAGATTAGTGGTCCTTTTGAAGGGAATAACATTGTGTTGTGAAATCTTAAATAATCTTAAGAAAATTATTTTTTTCCTTAAGGGATACTCAAAACTTAAGTAGCAATAAAATAAGTTATTATTGGCATAGTAACTGTGAATAACTTATTTTAGGTATTTGATTTCACTAGGAAACAAGGAAGAGAAGATACAGGAAAAAAGCCAGAATGTTGTTTAAGGTGTAAGATTAATAATTTATAATTTCAACAAGTACATATGTATAAAATACTTTAGCCTTAAAATGTCTTAAAAACTAAAAATAGTGAACTATAAGTCTTGGTCCAGAGTTACTTAAAGATGGAATAGCATGGATTTTTTCAAGGAATTAAATTTTCACTCATATGAGCTATGATCTACCCAGGTAAAATGTTAATATATGAAATAGGAAACCTACTTACAAGATACTTTTTAGGGGGTAAATAGTTATTAAGTAATAATAGCAACTAAATTAAATGTTCTTAGGAGTTTTTAAATAGGGTTTAATTCATTTGGAGCACAATTTTATACTTAAATTTATTATTGGGAATAGATAAATTTTAAATTTGGGGAAATGTTAATTGCTGTTACATTAATACTTGAAAGTGTCTCTGAGGGCAATCTGAGTGCCTGAAGCCTGACAGAATGAAATAGGGGATTACATTATATTTTTTTGAACAGCAACAAAATAGTCTAAATTTAGTACTACTTGGTCTTTATGCTCTGATAGGGATTTGAGGAACTGAACACCAATTCCGGTTTTTAAGACTTACACTGAGTTGGGATTCTGCTCTTAGTTTCTTCCATGGGCGAGTCTTTGTTTTACAACTAAGTTCCTGATGGCAAGTTATTTATATTAAACTAAATTATTGTATTTTGTATCTACCACTTTAAATTTGCTTAAATGTGGCTGAGTAAAGGACATTTAACCTCAGCATAAATATTTATCAGTTATTCAACACTCTCCGCTGTGTTGAAATAAATGCATTTGTATTTAAACAATGTACAGAGTAGATACCCTCCCCACAACTCATCAAGAACCAGTCGAACTCTAAACTTCAAACATTAACCTTTGAATTGCCAACAAAATATGTTTAAATGATTTGTATATTTGCCTTAGTAAATAGAGAACATTGTACATTTTAGATTTTGTTGAAGACTCAGATGGTCATTAAGAATATCCATTTTAATAGTGTGGTAAAGTGATTTAGAGATGGCGTGTTTTGTCCCTAAGCCAGGTGAACCCAGACAATTTTGCTTTTTTTGAGTTTTTATGTATGCTTGCTTTTTATACTTTGTTGTCTCTTGTTATAAGTTGTTATACTTTGTCAGAGAGCTATCTGCTTTTCCCTGTTTTTGTTTTTTAAATCTGCCCATCTTCAATTTCTTAGGGAACTGGAAATCAGGTTACTAATCTTGTTAGGATTTATTTGATTTAATAAAATTTAGGGCTCCTGAGAGTAGGGTTCTGTGTGCATAAAATGCATGAGCTTTTGAAAGTGCTTCCATGTGACTGACTTATTTGGGCATCTGTGCTTGTTCTATATACAGTTGACCCTTGAGAAATGCAGGGGTTAGGGGCACTAAAACCCCATGCAGTTGAAGCCTTTGTGTAACTTTTGACTCCCCAAAGCCTTACCTACTAATATTGTGCTGTTGACTAGAAACGCTATTGTTAACATAAATAATTGAGAGATAATTTGTATGTTATCTAAGTATTGCATCCTTTGTCCTTAAAATAAAGTAAGCTAGAGAAAAAATGTTATTAAAGTCATAAGGAAAATGCATTTACAGTATTTATTGAAAAAAAAAATCGCATATGCGTGGACCTGCGCAGTTCATACAAACCTGTGTGGTTCAAGGGTCAGCTGTATTGGTTTGCTCCCAACAATGCTGAGCAGGTTAAAATGGGAAAGGAAATAGTAGTCTGTATGGATTTAGACTGCATATTCACATATCTAGCTATATGTTTTCGTATGTATATACATCACCTCTGTTTCCATTAATTGATAAGTATTTGAGCTTAACTCATTTGAACTTCTCAAGCCCTCCTCAGGTGTTACTCATTGTACAAATCTAGGTCTGAGTTCCACAGCTATGAAAAATTAGAACTATTTTTTTTCCAAATAATTTGTGAGCATAAATAATCAAATAGTCTGTTTTAAGGGAGTTTGGTTAAAATAAATGCTTAAACTTGCCAAATCTTCCGTATCCTTGCCTCTATGTTCTTGGGATGGGTGGCTAATTTGAACTAGGGCTGGTGGTGGTTTCTTTTCTGGGTCTCAGGCATACATTTGCTTCTGGACAGAAATCTTAATCTGTAAAATGCGAAAGATAACAAAAGGGCCAGCCTTTTGAATGAATAAAGTAATTTAAACCTTATAATGTTAGTTTGCTCTTTGAGGTGAAGTGAGGAGTTTGGCTTGCAGCACCTGTAAAACAATTCTGTAGGAGAGTGTATAGGACTGAACTTTCTACTCTTATCAAATGGAATTGTATGAGTTATGCTTCAGTTATAGTTTGTTTTAAAAAGTACTTAAAATAGTTATTTGGTCTTGATGGTATTTTCTAAAAACTTGCTTTTTCTCTAATTTTTTAAAAAATCCTCATTCAAGGATACTTTTCCATTGATTTTTAGAGAGAGGGAAAGACAGAGAGAAACATTGATGTGTTTTTCTCACATCAGTTGGTTGCCTTCTGCATGTGCCCTGACCAGGGTCTGGGCTGGGGAGGAGCCTGCAACTGAGGTACATGCCCTTGATGGGAACTGAATCTGGGACCCTTCAGTCTGCAGGCCAACGCTCTATCCACTGAACCAAACTGGCTAGGGTGCTTTTTCCTCTTAATTTCAATGGAATTGGAATCTGCATAGAAATCAAATTTCCTCAATCCTCTCACCTTAGTGATGTCTGTTTCTTTGTTACAGAAACGTATGCTGTTACTTGAAAAAGTCATGAGGCCTAACTTCAGTATTAATTAACTTGGCTTTGTTTTTGCTACCTTTTATTTGAATTAAGAAGCATGATGTGTTTGATACTGCTTTTTGAAGATACTGATGTAATGTGCAATTTTAGTGATCCTGTTCTTGTGGCTACAACCTTGCTTGGTGCTTTATTTCCATTAAAATAATTTTGTTCTAATGCACTGTATTTTAGTGAGCAGCTTTTTATAGGTAAAGTGCTCCACTGTAGTCATTGAACCAAATTATCAGTTAGTGTTTATTCAGCATTCTTGAATTAAGCTGCTTTTTGGGTAATTATTTATAAAATAATAATGTTACAGAAGTATTAAACTTGCCAGTGGTTATAGCAACTTGGAAATTTAGCTTTTATTATTTTATGTACATTTTGAGATTGCAATTTCCCCCTTGCTAAGTTGATGCTGATACATAACTCATGAAGCTTATTATCTTATGGTGTTAATATCCAGCACAAAGCACTTAAATAAAATAAATAGCATGTTGTCTTTATCTTCAAAGGCATTATATTGTACTTCTAGCAAGTGCACCAACAGAAAAACAACGCCTAGAATGGTAAGTACAGGATTTGACTTTACAGAAAAAATAAACTTCAAAATGAATCAGATAGCCACAGAACGCAGTAGGAGAGGGGATGAAGTTCTTAAACCATCCAGTTTGGTTTTAGTCATAAATGGCGCTTTGCTACTTATAATGGAAGTATAGGAATATGGGGTTTCATATACAACTTTTGTTTGCTTTAGATGCATGTATCATTTCCTAACCGTTTATTTTAAAGTATGTTAAAAAAAAGTGCTTTAATTTAGCTTACTATTTTTTCTTTAAATATTTGTGAGGATATGTTTTGAAATCTTCCTAGTTTGAAATGTGGTTTGATTATCTTCTCCCCTGTTTTCTCTTCAGCATTTTTGGGTAGAGCATAAGGCTTTGTTTTATCTGTGGGGGTCCAGACAGTTGAACTGCCCCCTGTGTGTTTAAGTATGGTCTTCAAAATACTGCTTTAATAAACATTTGGTTTTGTGTATTTTGCTTTATTTTTTAAATTGACAGTTTTTATTAATACTAAGTGACATTTGTTTAGGGTGGGCTTGGTGGAATCGAAAATCCGAATCTTGGTTGGAAGTTTGGAGAAGAATGAATTTATTACACTGGCTCATGTGAATCCCCAGTCATTTCCGGCACCCAAAGAAAATCCTGACAAGTAAGCAGTCTTCTATTTTAATTTCCTCTTCCCATTTTAAATTTTTACTTAGAGAAGCATTTATAGGCAATTTTTAATAACTGGAGTCACTTTTATTTATTGATTATATGTAGCTCAAAACCAATTTGAGATTTACAGTTTAGGTTTTTCTGCTCTGACCTGAAGGGAAACCATTGAGAAGATAGGATAAAAGGAAGCTAACTTCATATTTTAAGGGTCTTTCATTGGTTAATTTCTGGTTTGATGAGATTCTATATGTATTTTGTTGCATTTTGGAGAGTGAAGTGAGTTTTCATAAAAAGCTTTTAAAAAAGGGATTAAAGACTGAAAATACAAATAAGTGGATCATTTAAGGTTGTGCTTGTAATAGAATAGCTGTTATTCTGATTGCTTGTATAGATTATTTTCTTTTGCAGTCATGTAAAAGAGTATGATTTGAGCTTTGTACACATTTTTTTTATTGCTGCAGTCTTTCTTATTGATTTTTTACAGAGAGGAAGAGAGAGGGATAGAGAGTTAGAAACATCGATGCGAGCGAAACATCGATCAGCTGCCTCCTGCACACTCCCTACTGGGGATGTGCCCACAACCAAGTTATATGCCCTTGACCGGAATCGATCCTGGGACCCTTGAGTCCACAGGCTGACACTCTATCCACTGAGCCAAACCGGTTAGGGCTGTTGCTGCAGTCTTAATTATTGAAAGACTGCATGCTCCATTCAGTAGATATGTCATTAAATGTTCAAAGGTATGAAGTACTCTTGTTCCAGTTACTATGTGTAGTCAGTCAATTTCTGTTCATGTGGCCTTTTCAATTAAGTTTTAGTTAAATTTTTATTTCAAGGATATCTTTTGTTTCATGTTTTTCTACAATATGTTAATTTCATTCCTTTGTTGGTTTGAACATAATTTTTTTTTGTTTACAATGTCTCTGGTACTGTAGGATCATCATTAAGAAAATTGGCTGTCAGTACATAGATAATACAAGTATTTTTGTCCTGGTGCTCAGATGGTGTATATGTTAATAGAAAAGTAGAGGACTGGTTTCAGGGGAGGACTTTGAGTTTTAATGGAGTTTGGGCTGAGAACTTCACTGAATTTGCTTATCCACTTATATTTCAAGTCTTTCCATATACCTCAGGTTGTCAGTCACTCTGATAACTGTTTTTATGAAAGCTTGGTAAACTATGTTCATACTCTTCTTACTTTTCAGGGAAGAATTTCGCACGATGTGGGTGATTGGATTAGTGTTTAAAAAAACGGAAAACTCTGAAAATCTCAGTGTTGATCTCACCTATGATATTCAGTCCTTCACAGATACAGGTATAGCTCTATTTGGACAATCAAAACGTACTTGCATATTTGAATTTGTCTTCATATTTCATAGTGATATTTGTAATAAATATTAAAATTTCCTGGGGCTAGCGAACACTAATCATAAAAATAATCTTAATTTTTTGGATTAATTATTAGTTTCTGTTTTCTAATATATAAATGATTGTTTTTTCTATTATGTTAGACCTAAAGTTAAGTCAAACCATTTTAAATTTGATTTGTTCACAACTACTTATTAGAAGCCACCTGAATATTTGATTGTCTAGAAGACCGAGTCTGTGCCTGACTGCCTTAATGATCTTGCACCGTAGGAATTTCTGAAGCGAAACTTTTGATAACCTTGAGGAAATTTATTCTCTATGTCAAATATAGACTTAAGTTGTTTATTCATGGGTGAGGGAGAGGGTGATGAGAGCTGCATTTCAGATTGACCTGTACCCTGAGATATAATACAGTATATAGGTTAAAGTCCAAAAGGGAGATAGAGTGGACAGAGCTAAGACTGTATAAATGCACAGCTTTTCAAGAGAGTGGTGAGTATGTATAGAGACGATGATGAATGACGTCTTTTTTAGGGACTAATTTTTCTTTTCAAACAACCTCCCCACCCCCATTTAAAAAACTCCAGTGTGTATCGTTTTCACTGTCCTCAATAAAGAGTCCCCCCAAGGACATTCAGATTTAACATCAAACTTTTTTTTACATCCTTAGAGAAGGAGAGAAAACAATTTTTCTAATTGTAAAGGAGAAATGTAAAGGAAAAGTAAAGGGAAAAGAATATGTATTTCAGTATGCAAATGCCTAGGTACCGTGACTAGAAGATACACTGTACTCAGCTGATGACACCTATGTGTAGAGTCACTAGCAGTGTGACATCTGTGAATTCCTACTGACCCAGGTGTCACCTGTTGTGATTCAGAGACCAGCAGCATTGCAATTGGTGACACAATAAAAGTTAACGTTTTAAATTGAACAAAAGGTGATCTCTTGATATATGTGGTAGTTGCATTCCTGGAAAATTCAGATTAAAAATCTTTTTTTCTTGGTAAAATTGAGTTGAGTTCTTGCTTCAAATAAGTATGTTTTTTATCTTTAGGAATGTAAGTAGGACATGGTCCAATTCTTTATTGTGAGGAACTCTCCACATTGAAGCATATTTAGTGTCCATATCAAGTAATAACCCTTAATTATTGTGACAACAAAAGCACTCATACAGGCTTTTAGGATATGATTTGGAGGGTGCTGATGACTCTGTCTGCTGAGCACCACAGACGTCTGTTTTTTCAAAGTAAAAATTCTGATGTCACCTTAAACCGTTGGTGAACTAACAACTCATGTAGAGATAATTGAATAAGAAAATTTGTATCTCAGTTGAGCTCTTTATCAAAGATTGTATTAATGAACTTATCAATTATTTGAAGCAAGAACTCAACTCAATTTTACCAAGAAAAAAAGATTTTTAATCTGAATTTTCCAGGAATGCAACTACCACATATATCAAGAGATCACCTTTTGCCCAATTTAAAACGTTAACTTTTATTGTGTCACCAATTGCAATGCTGCTGGTCTCTGAATCACAACAGGTGACACCTGGATCAGTAGGAATTCACAGATGTCACACTGCTAGTGACTCTACACATAGGTGTCATCAGCTGAGTACAGTGTATCTTCTAGTCACTGTACCTAGGCATTTGCATACTGAAATACATATTTTCAAAATTTTCAAGGCACTTTCAGGTATTTTTGGGTAGCAAATATTTAGTTGTCCTATATCTTGAAAATTTTAATAGAATACTTTCTGAGGTTTTTAAAAAAATAAGTATTTTATTGATTTTTTTTTTTTTATAGAGAGGAAGGGAGAGGGATAGAGAGCTAGAAACATCGATGAGAGAGAAACATCTATCAGCTGCCTCCTGCACAACCCCTACTGGGGATGTGCCTGCAACCAAGGTACATGCCCTTGACCAGAATCGAACCTGGGACCCTTCAGTCCACAGGCCGACGCTCTATCCACTGAGCCAAACCGGTTAGGGCAAGATTTCTTTTTAATAAAACAAATTTAACTTGTTCAAAACCCAAAATTTTACCTCCACTCTCTTCCAACTTCTCCAAATGTTTTTTATCTCAAGTTTTAACAACTGTTTTCTTGTAGTTGTTCAAGCTGAAAATCTTGGAGTCCTCCTCTCTTGTTTTTCTCAGATAGTAAGTCCTTACTTAATGTCATGGATAGATTCTTGGAAATTGTGACTTTCAGCAAAACGATATGTATAACAAAACCAGTTTTACCATAGGTTAATTGATATAAACATGAGTTAAGTTCCTACTGCATAGTTCTGGTTTCAGAATCATCACCAAATTTCTAAATAAAGATCCCAAACACTAATAGTGTTGAACATTGACATAAATGTGAGCTGTACATAACATTTAAGGAAGATTAATAAGAGCAAGATAATTATTTCCACTTATTCCAATTCAAGGTGACTAGTGGCTGGAGCCTCTCCTGGTAGCTCAGGGTACAAAGTGGGACCCACCTGGACAGGACACCCTTCTAGTGCAGGGCACACTCACACTCACTGAGACTGGGACAATTAGACACCCCAGTTCACTTAACTGTACAGCCCTGGGATATGTGGGGAAACCGGAGTTCCCGGGGGAGACATGAGGAGAAGGTGCAAACTCCACACAGACAGCGATCCTGGCCAGGAATCAGTCCCCCTGCCCTCCCCTTTCCAATCGTATAATGAAATGACGTTATTTGAGGAACTGCTGTGTTTGATATAAATCCATTAAAAAAATTTTTTTGCCTCTGCTTTCAGAATACATTGCGATTTCTGCTAATTGGTATTTCTGCTGCTGTCAGCCTAGTCTAGGTCACACTTACCACTGTGGTTGGATTACTGCTGTTGCTATCAGATCCTTGTGCTGCCCTTGCCCACCTTCAGCTCTTTCAGTCAACATCCAAATCATGCCTCACCTGTTCAAAACCTGTAATGGCTATCCACGCCATTTGGAATAAAAGTCCAAGTCTTTACTGTGGTTTACAAGCCTTTACCTGATCCGACCTCTCCTTATGTCTGACCTCATTTTTTATTATAAGTTCAGAATTCTTTATCCATCTGTCTTGGGGCCAGAAAGTAATAAAGTTAGTATCATTCCAGGAACATTTCTAGCTGAAGAATTTCTACAGGGAACTGTTTGATAGTCACAGTAAGCCCTGGTGGAGATCAAACAGCCACAAACAGGTCAGGTCAGGGTTCGTTGCCAGACGAGTTTTGGCGCCAATCTTATGAAAAACTTCTGTGTTGGGTGGGAGATTTTGGGATTTTAGAATTAGATAAAGGATTACTGATCTCTACTTTTCCTCCTTCCCTGTGGCCTTTTTGTTGTTCCTCGAACATTCCAGGTATGCTCTCCACTCAGGACATTTTGTCCTTGATGTTTGCTCTTCCTGGAATGCTATTCCACCAGGTACTGTCAGATCACTTCCTCACTCTCATTTAAGTCTTCACTCCATGTAATCCTAGTTTCCAGGCTGAGCTTCTTTTCTTCCTGCTCAGCTTTTTCCATAGCACCTACCACCACCTGATGCGAAAGAGTTGACTTTTGAGCAACACAGGTTTGCATTGAGCCGGTCCACTGACACGATAAGATCACTTGCCACCACACAGTTCAAACCCATGTTCAAGAGTCCACTCCGTGGTTGGGAATCCACGTGTGGAGGGCCAGCTAGAGTTCTCTTTGTATTTTTGACTTCCTGGGAGGTCACTGCACCTAACCTCTGCGTTCAAAGGATAACTATGTTTTAATTAATTTTTTTTCCTGTTTATTACATTTTTCCTACTGGAATGTAGACTCTGAAATTATTTTAGCCTCTTATTCCCTGCTATGCCCTGTGTCTAGAGCAGTGTGATACGTATATCCATTCCATAATTATTTGTTGTTGGACTCAGGGAACGAATTTTTCCATTTTTGGAACCCTCTGAAACTAAATTATTTGGATTTCTTTATTTTTAGCATATTATTTTTGTTTCTGTGACCTCTGTTATTTGAGTTATTTCTGTAATAGAAAATGTTACTCCTTGTCTTAAAATTTGATCTTGCAGATTCTTGAAAAGGTATTTTTAGGTATATTTAAATACGTTTGACTTGTTTTGCTGAATTTGTTACATACTTAAATTAGAATTTAAAATTTTACTGGTAACATTAAAGGGTATGGGCTTAAGAACCTCTTTTTCTCCAATTCCGCTGTTTCTTAAAGAGTGACTCTTTAAAGTTACCACTTTAAGAGTTTTTACACTGGAAGAATTCATATACTTTGTGTTTTGTTTATTTTTTTTTCATTTTGTAAACCTTCTGGTAGAAGGGACTTAGTTTGCTCAGGCAGTGAATTGTCAGAGTAGAGATAGGTTTTCACCTGATGATTTTATACATATGAAGTATTAACGTATAAAGGATGATCCCTGCTTAGAATAGCCTCTCCTGGATGAGTTGAACAGCGTTATTAAAATGTTTTTTTTTATTTTTTGTAACAATTTTCTAATTGTGTAGTTTATAGGCAAGCAATAAACAGCAAGATGTTTGAGGTGGACATGAAAATTGCTGCAATGCATGTAAAAAGAAAGCAACTCCATGAACTACTACCTAATCATGTGCTTCAAAAAAAGAAAAAGGTAAATTTAAAAAGCACTTTAAAAAGTATTATTAATGTAATAGTTTATGTGTCCAGGTTATCAGAACTTCAAAACTGTAGGCTCAGTGAATAAGTTATATTTGAAATAGTCACAGTGTTTAAAAAATTTGTTAAGTGGATCAGTTGCATTATATGAAATCTTTTTCCTAACCAGGTTTCTTGCACACACTTGCTTCAGACTTTAGATAGATTAGTGGAGATGCTTTGTATCCTTATTTTATAAATACTTAGATTCCCTTCAAAACCTTTTCTTGGCCATTTAATATTCCACATAAGTATCTAACTTCCTTTTTTTATTTTTAAATATATTTTATTGATTTTTTACAGAGAGGAAGGGAGAAGGGATAGAGAGCTAGAAACATCGATGAGAGAGAAACATCGATCAGCTGCCTCCTGCACACTCCCCACTGGGGATGTGCCCGCAACCAAGGTACATGCCCTTGACTGGAATCGAACCTGGGACCCTTGAGTCCGCAGGCTGATGCTCCATCCACAAGCCAAACCGGTTAGGGCAACTTCCTTTTCTTTAAAAAGTAAACTAATTCAGTTAGGTATTCTGTAGCTCAAGTAAACTAGAGGAGTTTTTCAATGAAAATGGCTGTATTTTGCTAAGAATTATACATGTATTTATTTTATTTAACTTTTTAAAGTTATTGAAGATAAAGATCACTAACAGAGGTAAGCCAGAGTTAATGTTTTATATTATGCTGTTATCAGTGCTTCCTGTTGAGTAACTTTGCTTTTTTATTATTTGGACTTACTATAGAGGACTTATTGGGATTTTAGTTCAGAGATATTTGCTTACTTGGTTTCAAAAATAAATGACTTATTCCTATAATGAAATACTTAAACATACCCGTGAAAATAAATGAACTACAGCTACATAGTATGTTGAGTTAAAAAGGCACAGATGAGTATGTACCATTTGGTACATTCATGTGAAGTTTACAAGTCTAAAAATGTAAAACCATATGTGATTTTTTAAAAAATAATATTTTTACTGATTTCAGGGAGGAAGGGAGAGGGAGAGAGAGAAACATCAGTGATGAGAGACAATCATTGATTGGCTGCCTCCTGCATGCCCCTTACTGGGGATCGAGCCTGCAACCTGAGCATGTGCCCTTGACTGGAATCAAACCTGGGACCCTTGAGTCCATAGGCCGACGCTCAGTCCACTGAGCCAAACCACCTAGGTCAAAACCATATATGATTTAAAAGAGAATATGAAATTAAAAGTATATGTTAGTGAACAATAACCACTGAATTCACCATAAAGGATGGCTAACTGGGGTTGGGAAAAGAGGAATAAAGTGTTTGTTTATGTACATAGTGGTTTCTCTAGCTCTAAATTAAAAATTAGAGCATACACGCACACACGTATGGGATGTGAGTGTTTGTCAACAATGCAAATTATTTCTATTAAAATGTTTTTGTAGATAAGTGAACACTGAGGCTGAGAGTATTCTGGAAAAAAAAAAGCTGAAGTAAATTTGACATTATAGTAGCATTAATTGCCAAAATGGAAATCATAAGTCACTTTAGAAATCAACTTTCATTCATAGAACCACTTACAGTTTTCTTTTGTTGTTCCTATATTCAGTTACTGTCTTTGAGTGCTTTGCTTTTTAAGAAGCGGGGCCAACATTAGGATTTACATGTGGATATAAGGTTTAGTTTTCAGAAAATTAGTCGTTTCCATAGGATAATTTACACTGTTGAATTACCATGTTGAAATCCTACGTTGCCTTAGAGCATTAAGGAATCCTTTGCTTTGGAGAGGCTCATTTATTTACAAATATTTAGGAATGGCACTTACGGACATTTTTTGAAATTATACAATAAAGTTTATTGTAGAATAATTTAAAAATCTGTTAACAATTACTTCTAATCCCGATAGCTAGAGATAGTCATTGTTAACATCGTGTTATTATTAGTAGACTTTTCTAATACATTTATGTATGTATATTTAAGCTCTCAGATTTAAGATCCATGCCGTTTCATGTACTTTTTAATTTGCAATGTGTTTTGTATTCAGTGTGTATGTTTAATGTACCATTCCTTTCTCCTTATTTCTCCCACGGAAGAGCTATAGTTGAAGGCTTCTTAGAAGTTAGGAGTATGTGTCTCTCAAATCTATGCCTTTTATAGTCAGCATGACACTTCTGATTTTCATAAATTTTGATTTGTACTTTTTAGTAGAAATTATATGTCCAGTAAAAGACATTCATGTTTCATAGATCTGGATAAAATACACATGTATTTGATTGAATATCTTATTGATTGCAGCATTCAACAGAAGGTGTCAGATTGACACCTCTGAATGAGAACAGCCTCGACTTGTCTATGGACAGTGATAACAGCATGTCTGTGCCTTCACCTACTAGTGCTATGAAGACCAGTCCATTGAACAGTTCTGGCAGCTCTCAGGGGTAAGAAAAGGGAATGGGAGTGTAGTGGCTATTTGTAAACGTATTTGATTGTTGTTAAAGTCATCTATTTGGAATATCAATTTTATTCCATCTTAAAGTATTTTTTAAATGGCCATTTAACTCTTAGTTTTGCAGAAAGTAATTTGTCCTACCGTGTCACACTTGTGTCCCATATGTCTTGATACAAATATGACTCTGCTATAGCCTCTTCAGTTTCCTGTACTGAGTCACCTGCTGCCTCCACTGAGCAGTGTGGTGTGCCAAAGAGAACAGACAAGAGGGACAACATTGCTTGGCTGTCCTCGAGCTGCTTTGCCTTTGTTGTGGGGGAACACATCTATGAAATACTAGGGACCTTCCAAAGCAGGGGAAGATCTGCGTGGGCTGGTTTATGTTAGGGAAAACTCTTTGGAAGGATTAAGTGACTCTTTAAAAACGTTTTAAGCAGCTAAATGTTTTTTATTATGAAATAAATATATGGCTGTGGTAACAAAAATTAGAAACAAAAGATCATATTTATATTTAACTTCTATAAGTGTATCCTGCAGACTTTTAAAAATATATATTTATTGATTTCGGAGAGGGAGAGAAACTTCAGTGATGAGAGATAATTATTGATTGGCTGTCTCCTGCATGCCCCCTACTGGGTATCGAGCAGCAATATGGGCATGTGCCTTGAGCAGGAATTGAACCTGCAGCGTCCTGTTGCAGGTTAGGACGCTCAACCAAATGAGCCACACCAGCCAGGGCAGATAACATTTTTTAAGAACCGTTCTAATATGGTAGTCACTAGTTGTGTGGCACTTTACATGTAATTAATATTAAATAAACTTAAATGTTCCATTTCTCACTGCCCTTATTTCATCTATATAGTGACTACCATATGGGATAGCGTAGATAAAGGACATTGTTATAGAAAGTTCTATGGGACAGCACTGCTTTAGAAGGTTTGTGTGTTTTTGATTGTTGGTTATATCTTATTATATGAAATCAGTTAAGGTATATGTCTGAGAAGTAAATCTGAACAATCCTTCAGAAAGTAATTTCATAAAATTTTATGCTTCTTGGTTTACTTGTCAATGTTTTTAAACAGCAGAAACAGTCCTGCTCCAGCTGTGACAGCAGCATCTGTGACCAACGTCCAGGCCGCCGAAGTTCCTGCGCCACAAGTGGATTCCAGTGAAAGCTCAGGGGGCAAGGGAATTGGTTTGACAGGTTTGAGAGGACTTTACATTATATGAAGTTTCAGCCTTTGCTCTTTGTTTTTGTTGTTAATCCTCACCCTAGGATATTTTTTCCTTTGAATTTTAAAGAGAGTGGAGAGGAGGGCGAGAGGGAAACATCGATGTGAGAGAGACACATTGGTTTGTTGCCTCCCACCTCGGATCATACCTGCAGCCCAGGTAGCTGCCCTTGATGAGGAATTGGACCCACGACCCTTTGGTACACAGCCTGGCCTGGCCCTCCAACCACTGACCCACACTGGACTCAGCCTTCGTTTTGAAAGATGGCTTTATTTGTTAATTAAGTAGTTTGAATTCAGTTTTTTAATGCCATTTTAATATTTGCATGTAAAGTTATCAATGATATCAAATCTAGAGAAATAAAGCTTTATTTGTACCTTAATGTTGATGATTTAATTTTTATGTATTAATGTTTACTCATTACTTAGGTACATCGAGCGAGAGCATTCCTCAAACTGCCACACAGCCAGCCATTTCATCACCACCAAAGCCTGCGGTCTCCAGAGTGGTTTCTGCAACACGCCTGGTCAACCCACCACCACGACCTTCAGGAAATGCAGCAACAAAAATACCTAATCCCACGGGAGGGGTCAAGAGGAAATCCTCACCTCACAGAGAAGAAAGTCCCAAGAAAACCAAAACAGAAGAGGTACCTATATATTAGTTACCTATGAGAACACCAGCTTAACTATTTTAAAATCCAACGAAAGAAAACCTTTGTGGGCCTAAAATGAAAAGCAGGAAGGAGGAAAGCTTATAGGAAATGTTTAGGGTGTGTTGCAGTGCCACAGTTTCTCTCCCCGTTCCTGCGCTCTCAGTGGCCTCTTCCTAAAGCTGTGCCTCTCATTCCAGTTTCTGTAGCATGTCTAGTTCATAACGACTTAGCGTGGATTTAATGGCACCTTCATTTATTGCTCTCATACAGCTGGCTTTTATAGGTACCAATTAAAAAATACATATCTATATATATATCTCTATCTCTCTCTATATAAAGTATATATATATAAAGTATATATCTATCTGTCTATATATATATATATATATAAAGTATACATATATATCTTTATTGATTTCAGTGAGGAAGGGAGAGAGAGCGAGATAGAAATATCAATGATGAGAATTATTGATCTGTTGCCTCCTGCACCCCCCGCCCTGGGGATTGAGATCGAAACTCTGGCATGTGCCCTTGATTGGAATCGAACCTGGGACCCTTCAGTCCACAGGCTGACGCTCTTGAGCCCAACCTGGGCATCGAACCATGACCTTCTGGTTCATAGGTTGACTACTGAGCCACTCTGGCTGGGCATGGGTACTGATTTTTTCATAGCTTTTTTGGACATGGTTTTTGTTTCTTGATCCAAATGGAATTTTGGAGTTTTTACACTATACTTGGTAAGAATGCGAGTGGTTCTAAGGGAATTTCCTAATGGGATGCCTGGCCAAAGTTGTAAAGTCCGATTAGTTTGGGGGGCTTGAATTACTATTTTTTCTCTTAACTCTTTAGGAAATTTTCTAGAAATATGAACTTTTTATAGTGAATGGTTTATCTTGTCAAAGTCTCAGTTTTAAGAAAACCATTAAAAGTATACATTGATTTTAAGTGTGTATCTTAGTCTAGAAATAGCCTTGTTACACAGTTTCATTGATCCCTGGAGTGACTCTCGGGTTGTTTCCTGTTAGTGAGGCTTTCACCATTGCCACAGAGGTGACAGTTCAAATGTTTCATTCCCTAGGTTATTCTGAAGTTTTTTTGTTGTTCTTCTAGGAAATAGTCACTATTAATGAACTATGAATAATTTGATGAATTTTGTCACTCTTTTGATTCTGTGAATGAAAAATGGTTACAGTATATTTTAAAACATGTATTATGAAAACCCGTCTGTAATTATCTCCAAAGGCAGTGGTTTTCAACCCTGACTGTACATCAGAATTACTTTTTCAGGTTTTTGGTTTTTTCTTACCAGAATTTAGGGCCTTCTCCAAATACAGAATCAGAAACTCTCCAGGAGTTTAGGCCTGGGGATTTCCCCCCCCCCCCCCTTTTTTTTGAGATATTCATTAATGTTCCTGTGTAAAACTTAATTTTTTTAAAAAAAGAAAGAACTACCACCAAAAGGGGATTCGTTTAGTCTAGCGGCCGCCAACCTTTCGGATCTCGCGGACCACCGGTTGGCAACCGCTGCTCCAAAGGTTCCTTAAACCAGCGGTTGCCAATCTTTCAGAACTCATGGACCACCAGTGGTCTGCGGGCCACCGGTTGGCGATTGCTGGTTTAGTCTATCCCTTCCTCAGTCATCTGCTTCCCACCTCTTCCAAACGCTCTAGAAAAACATTTTGGAGGCAGGGAGTGGGTGAGGAAGCAGCTAACCTGAGTCCCTGGGAAAAGCCCCATGCTACTGGATTGTGTTGTGTCTCAGCCTAAGAATGTCCTGGTGTGGGTGTGATTCCACATTTACATTTCTTTTACCCTAGTACAGTGGTCGGCAAACTCATAGTCAGCAGAGCCGAATATCAACAGTACAACGATTGAAATTTCTTTTGAGAGCCAAATTTTTTAAAATTTAAGATATATACGTAGGTACATTGTTATTAACTTAATTAAGGTACTCCTAAGGCTTAGGAAGAGCCACACTCAAGGGGCCAAAGAGCCGCATGTGGCTCGCGAGCCGCAGTTTGCCGACCACGGCCCTAGTATATGCAAGCATAGCTCTAGACACTTATTCCATTTCCCTAATGTTAATTGGTTAATTTTTTAATGATTCTCTGTGAGCTCTAACCAAATATGTACCAGCACAATATTTGTAATTTCATTTGCTCTTACCTTTCTAGAAAACACTTACGTTTCATGTCTAGTTTAGGGAAGTAGTAGGAATGTAGAGTTTTTAAAATTTTAAACATGTACACAGGAGAATCATTTCATGTATCCATGTACCCACCATGCAGCTTCAGGTATGAGCACTTGGCCAATCCCTGCACTCTTAGTTCTTTCAGCCTTTTCCACTTCCTCCAAACATATCATTCCATTAGTTTTTTAAAAACTCTTCTATCTAAAAGATAATGATTACAAAAAGAAGTCTCTGTATATATAAAAGGCTAAGTTGACTCACGCCTGCACAATACATATAAAGCTCTTGCTGGTGCCAATTGCGCATGTTATTTTGATCTGTCATTGTCGATTGTGAATTTGGCTGACACTTCTATTATAGAGAAAGGGCTAATAGCGATATTAAAATATTTCTTCTAATTAATTTCCTTTCAATGTGCACGAATTTGTGCACCAGGTCAATAGTAACAAAATAAGTGTAACCCACTTAGAAAAAAAAATAATTCATTAATATAATCAACAATTCATTAATATTATATATCTAGTCAGTGCCCAAAGATCCCTAATTGTGTCATTAATTTGTGTGTTTTTTTAGTCTTTATTTGTCCAAATCCTATATAACAAAAGGCTAATATGCAAATAGACTGAACGGTGGAATGACTGGTTGCTATGGCGTGCACTGACCATGAGGGGGAAGACGCTCAATGCAGGAGCTGCCCCATGGTGGTCAGTGTGCTCCCACAGGGGGAGCACCGCTCATCCAGAAGCCGGGCTGATGACTGGTGAGTGCAGTGGCGGTGGTGGAAGCCTCTCCTGCCTCTGCAGCAGCGCTAAGGATGTCTGACTGCGGGGAGTGGGCCTAAGCTGGGAGTCGGACATCCCCCGAGGGCTCCCAGACTGTGAGAGGGTGCAGGCTGGGCTAGGGTTCCCCCGATCCCCAGCCCCGAGTGCACGAATGTTGTGCACTGGGCCTCTAGTCTATAAATAAGATCCCTGTTTAGCAATTGATTGATGTCTCAAGTATCCTGTAAAATATAGGTTTCTCCCATTTTTTTCTTACAAATTTTTTTTTTCTGTATAGTTTCTCAATCTGGGGTTTGCTTGTTGGCAGCTCACTTTTATTTTGACTAATACAAATGGAATTTTAAACTGTAGAAGGGATCTTAGGATCTGAGTTATAAATCTCATTTCTTAGAAGAGAAACTCAAGGTTCATTGGCTTTTTCCTTTATAAAGCTAATAAAACTCAGAGACAGGATTAAAACCCAGGCCTAAAATCATGGCGTTCAATTTGAAGATTTTTTTGAAGAAGACTGTTAAAAAATATTCTAAATATCCTAATTTTGAAGGTCTCCTAAACTGGTTTTTTTTATTCTTTGTTAATGAGTACTTGGCATTGAAATTTTAGCAAATCAGAAAGAAACACTGGTTCTGCTTAATTAATACACTAAGGTGTATGTAGATAGGAGGGTTTTAGGTATTGCCAGGTAGTTTAGCTCTGCTAAATTTGCATCATATGCTAAAGCTTTTCAAACATATATAAATGGCAGTAATGTAAAATAAAAATAGAAAAATCTGCCCCATATATATATTTTAAAACTTATGATACCATATATGTTTTTTAATATGCTATAAATATTTTAGAAACTTATGGAAAATTTCAAACATGTACAAAGTTATAATGTACAGTCATGTCTGCATCACTACAGCTAACAAATTATTGCCAGCCTTCTTTCATCTACACATCTGCTCCCTTCCCCACGTCACGAAGCAGATCCCAGGCACATCATTTCAACCATAAATATTCCTAAAAATAATGACTAATAAAAAACACAGCTATAGTATATTACATCATATATATATTTGTGTGTGTGTATAAGTACATTTACCAGTATTACCATATTGTTACATATCCAGTCAGAATTGAAATTGGTTCAGTAGGGTTTTCAATTACTGTTTGTTAAGTATGTCTGTTTGAGGAATACAAATAAGGTTTTTATTGGAATTGGTTGATATTGCAGTTAAATCTCTCCTGCTCTGTAAGTTTATCCTTGTGGTTTCTATGTCTTGTTCTAGAGCCAATTAAAATTAAATTTTAGTTCTGTCTAGTAAGTAAAGCAGTGAAATTAGTGTCAATTATTTTTCTTAAGAAAGTGATGCTTATTAACAAGTCAGTACAGGAATGGGAAAATATAGCCATTTTGGGCTTCCCCTGTTCCCTCTTTATCAAAAATGCATTGTTTTGAATAGAATTATAATACACTTAAAAATTAAGACCTGAGGAGAGAGCATTTCTTAAACCTTTTATTCAGGATTTTAATAGGTCATACTAAGGGATTTTGTGGTTAATTAACTTTGGGAAAAATAAAGGGATATTCTTTTTTTAAAAAATATATTTTATTTTATTTTTTTTTACAGAGAGATCCACTGAGCCAAACCAGTTAGGGCAGGGATATTCTTTTTAGAACCGTGTGTGTGTGTGTGTGTGTGTGTACACTTTAGGTGGTGGTGATGAATAACAGTTTTCGTCACGTTCTTTTTAATTTTGGCAGATACTACAATTTAGTATACTAATTAAACTTGTTAATATGGAAAAAATTTAAGTGAATCAGTAATTATTTTAAGGCCATTATTGATCTTACAGGTTAAATTATTTCATAACTTAAAAAATTATGTAAGTTAAAGCATTGATTGGCAAATAATCTAAAATTTTCATTTTAGAGAATAAAGCTTTTCTTTTTAAAAACAGGATGAAACAAGTGAAGATGCTAACTGTCCTGCTTTGAGTGGACATGATAAAACAGAAACGAAGGTATACTAAATTTAGCCTTGGTGTACATACACAATTCAGAGGACGGAAGATGTGATAGGAATGTGTGTAGAATATTGTGCTATAATTTGTTCTATAGGTTGTTTCCAGAAGTGTCCCTTTTTAATGGTAATTTACAATGCTAATATTAAATTCCTAATGTTTGAGGCCCTTCTAGTTGCAGTGTAATCTGTTGGGCACCTAACGGTATAGAGTGGTGAGTGAATTATTCCGTACCTTTAAAGAACTTACAATTCTTTACAATTAAGTAAAGAAAATAAAAGAGAAGCAATTAATTACATTATGAAAGTGATTGAGGATGGTGGGGTGGTGAGAGGCAAGAGAAGTTACTTTTTGACTGCAGAAGTAATATAAGGCTTCAAAAAAGGGAGCTGTAGTATTTGAGGCAGTCTCTGAAGGATACAGAGGGTTATGGGCAGGCCAACATGAGAAGGTCATCTCGCTTTTGAGGTGAGAGTATGGTATGTTTAGAAAAATAGTTTTCTTTGCAGAAGGTTCTGGCTAGAACCTAAGGTGTGGGGGGCTTGAAACAAGGTAGACAGGCTGGGAGAGATTGGTTTAGCCAAATTGTATGAGACTGGGAGCATCATTTTTTTTTCTTCCAGAAATTGAAGTATACTAAAGGCTTAATTAACTCTGTCCTTCTTATTGTAGAAAAATTGGAAATCTTCTTTCCCCCAAATTATCCAGATTCCCATGATTGATATTTTAGCAAGTATTATTTTGATGTCTTTACAGATTTGTCTGTGTATACTGCCAATGCCTTTTGCTTTTAAGTCTTTATTCACTCTGTAAACCGAGAAAAAATTTCATGTCATTTTTATAATCTAGAAAATATTAATGGCTGCATAGAATGCTATCTTAAAGCAGTTATCATTTTTTATACAGGCGGTTTCCTATTGTTAGTAATTGTTCCTGTTAAAAGAAAGTTGCCCTTTCCTACTGTAGCATTGACTATAGTTAAATGGCTGCCATTATTTATGTTTATTTCATTTGGATAAATTAATTAAAGAGGAATTACTGAGGCAAATAGTATGCTTCCTTTTAAAATTTGATACGTATTGCCAAGCTGTGCTATAGAAACACTGCACTTTTTCTATTTCTTATATCCTATTTTACCCTTTGTAATTTCAGAGGAGAAAATTGGTATTTCATTGTTCTATTATTGTATAAGTATTTTTTATAGAAATTCAAATTTGTACTTTTTTTCATTTGTGTGTATATATATGTGTGTGTGTGTTATTGTTTGTGTGCACTGCTTTTTAAGAGTTGGAGCAGTGGGATGACATGGCTCATTCACCCCATGGTTTCTGACCAACCTTAGAGCAGAACTGAGCATTGATTATTGAGAATGGGAAAGAAACCAAAAGGAAGGAGGAATGTCTTAGACACAGTTTCTACTTTTAATTAAAGGCATGGGAGCAATTTTTGTGCTTTTTAGTAATTTTATTTAATAATATTGAATGGACTTTGTTTTTCACATAGTTAAGAGCTTGAGTTTATATTTTATTAATCATTGAGCCACATTTCATAATGTGCCTGTGCATGTCTTTAATTATTGTTTGTTTAAAATGTCCAAATTGGAGCTGGTTGGGAAGTCACGAGATATTCTGACCACGCCTTAAAAGATCAAAGTAGGCAAATAGAAATCTATGTGTACGTGCAATGGGGTAATAACCTGCAGTAGGCTTAAAAGATGGTTTTGTAATGCAGTCGCATCTTTCTCTTAATCCTTTCTGTTTTCTAATATGTCTGCTCTATTAGCCACCAAACCCCGTTTTGTTCTTTTATTCTTTTCTAAGACTCTTTCGTCCCTGTCTTCTTTGTCTCACAGGAACAACTTGATACAGAGACAAGTACAACTCAATCAGAGACTGTTCAGACAGCGGCTTCTCTGTTGGCCTCTCAGGTACTAAGGGCAGAAAGCAAGGAGAGCTTTATAAATGCTGTGGAGATTAGTGTGGCATAATGAGCTAAAATGAGCGTTCACGGAAGACTGATAAAAGTATCTTTGTGAAAGTAATTCCTTGCTAGCCTATCCCTGTATTTATTGCAGTTCAGAGCCTAGGATGTGGTGGAACCTTTTTTGTGTGCTGTGCAGATGCTAACTCATCCCCTTACACATGTGATAGTGCCAATGATTTAGCTCCTCACTAGTCAGCATGCAGTGTTCATACAGTGGCTTTATTTAGAGGTCAAAGTGAAATTTAAATTATGACAGCTAAAAACCATTCTTTGTGGATTTCATTTTTACAAGGTTAATATGACCTTTTTATTTTTAAAATGTGTTTCTGCCTCCCTGTGTATTTCTGGTTTTGTTATTAATGTAATGGACCCCATAGTTCTTTAAAATAATGTTTGCATTTGACATAGAAATTCTACTTGTGACAGTCCTCCCCCAACCATTGATTTGTGAACTTCCATTTTGTTGGCAAAATGTTTTCTTGAATTCCCCCAAGTTGAATATATTTCTAAGTCCAGGTCAAACTCTGACACACAGTACATCTTTTCTTTACTAGAGGTTAAATAGGTCACCCTACAAAAGAACTGAGAGATGATGGCTACAGTGGCTGAACAATCCAGCGATGTTTGCTGCTTTGTGGTTCAGGGTTATTTTAATGTGACAATTCTAAAATGTGGTTTTGCTGGCTGTTAACCCTACGACCTATGTCACAGTCCCTAAAGATAGTCCGCATATTATGTTTGCTCGTCTGGAGTGTCTTTTATTTCAGAACCTTTATCTGATAAGATGCATTGGGGTAACTAAAACCACGTTAGCAGGTGTGGAGCTTGATGCTGATACATGGACAAACCTGTTCATCCACCTGAAACTGTCCTGCGATGTGCCGGCAGCCTTTCAGTGCCCACGTTCTTCTCGGGGAGCCGTTCATAGTTTTGTCTCATTGATTTCATCCCAGTGGTGATCAGTGCCCAGGGGTGTTTGCTTATTAGCTGTTTTTATGAGGAAGTAGAATTTTCTTTCTAGTGAAAAGATCTCACCACCCAGTTATAGGAGTGATTATGTTGATGTAAAAAGTCCATCTCTGTGTTTAGTGGTAGAGGGGAATGTTTGGGGTGGGGGTGATTATAAGATTGTGCCCGTGTTTAACAAAGAATCCTTATGGTTTGAGGATAAACTTGAAATATTTACAGATGGAATGATAGGATCTCTGGGCTTTGCTTCAGCATAACCGGGGAGCGAAGGTGGGAGTGCACTCACTGGCTTTCATTTGACAGTTGATGAAGCTGCATAATGAACGCATGGGAATTCATCATACAGTGCTCTCTATTTTTGTGTATTTTTGGAATTTTCCATAATAAAACATTTAAAAATTCATCTCTATGTTTTTGAATGTTAAAGAAGGCTTGTGATTTAATTTATTTTTAATATGAAACTTCCCTAAAGTTTAAAATAATAAAATTATTGCTCAGTTGTATAGATAATTTACAGGGTCAAAAAGTCCCAAGTTTACTGATAATTGCTGCTCCTGTGTATAAGGTGAACCTGAAGTATTCTCCCACATGGGGGTGCTGCAGTACCAGTCAGCACCACAGCCGATGATGTTACTGCCCTGGTAATGACATGCTGGGCAATTGTTAGAGGAGTGTGTTTATAAAAGCTATGTTTGAAATTACTTACATTTTCTACATATTGCTAAAATGTTCCTACAAATGTAAAAGAAGTAATTTCATAGTAATTCATATTTATTTATATTTCATTTTGAAAGTTTTCTTTAAATTTTTAATACTTATGCTAAGATCCCTCCATTTCTTAGGAATAAAGCAGTGGGAAAGTAAATCTCTGTTAAGTTACAGCGCTTTGTACAATGTTGTGTTCTTTGCTTTTGTCCTCAGAAAACATCCAGTACAGACCTTTCTGATATCCCTGCTCTCCCTGCAAATCCTATTCCTGTTATCAAGAATTCAATAAAACTGAGATTGAATCGGTAAAAACAACCTCAGGGGTCCATAAACAATATCTGCCAACTCAACCTGTTGTCTTCAAATGCTAAGAAAGGAGACTGGAGGGTACAAGACTAGACATGGCTGAACATGGATGTAGGTTTGTGTGACCTCCCTTACTGGGCTAAGCAGCACTTGATCGGAAGTCCAGGTTAGTATGTGAAGCCAGGAGCACTGTTATTATTGTGTTAGCAACAGTTGCATTAACTATTTTAAAAAATTACTGCCTTTTAAAAAAAACAAAAAACACAAAACAAACACACACCGACACACAAAAACCAAAACATCAAG